AAACGAGTGTTGTTGGAATTAGACGAGGAGGGCGGTTTTCTGTTAACGAGAAATGGTTCTATAAAGGCAAACGTGTTTCAAACGCCAACTCCTATAGATATCTTGGGTTTGTATTCTCATATACATGTACATCAAAGATGAACCAGTGTGTTTCAGATCTAGCATCAAGGGGTAAACGAGCTTTAATGGAAATATTTCGCAATCTACGGAAGATTGGTTTTGTTGACACTTCAGTTTTCTTTAAAACATTCGATACTCAGATTCAGCCTATTCTTTTATATCGTTCGGAAATATGGGGTGTAGACAGATTTGACAAAAATAGAACAAGTGCATATTATCATGGCTTGTGAGAATGGTTTGCAAACACCGAATGCTATTGTGTATGGGGAATGCGGTCGATACCCACTATATGTAAATGCTATGTGTCGTTCTGTAAAGTATTGGCTAAAAGTGATTGAAATGGACGAAGATAGGATACCAAGAAAATCTTATAATATGCTTGTATATAACGATAAGTGTGGCCATTATAACTATGCTTCTTCTGTTCGTTCCATATTATTTTCTCACGGATTTGGAGAAGTTTGGCTCAGTGAAGCTGTTGGCCATAAACCATCATTCATTAATAGTTTTAAAAACGTTTTGATAAATATGTTCTAATCATGGAATAGTACTATCAAGGCCAGTTCTAGGTACATCCTGTATAAAGAGTTTAAAAGTCTCCTGGAACCAGAAAAATACCTTACCATTATTACTGAAATAAAGTATCGAAATGTTATAAGGCTACTAAGACTTAAGGTAAACGAAGGTAAAGGGGCTGATATTGATTTAGGTTTACGGCTCTGCCCCATATGTGAAACAAGTATAGAGAATGAATACCATTTTACTTTAGAATGTGAATATTACAACGATATTAGACAACTGAATTTACCAACAACTTTTTGTCATAATCCAAATATGCATAAATTTAAAATGCTGCTGTCATCCTCATGTAAACAATTACCTGTATTACAGCTATGAAAGACAAAAGACGTAATTTTGAAAAGCCTGTGGTTTAAGCTTTGTATGGTTACATCAAAGTGTTGGCAACAGATAATGGTTGATGTCCACTGAAGAAAGTAGGCTTAAAGACCAGTTTATATAGGGATAGCACAACGACCAAACTATGTCCTCAAGAGGAAAATTTTACTCTTGTTTCACTACTTGTTTGAATGAACACATTTAGAAACTGATCTTCAGCGTTATCATAAAAAGTACTATTATGTCAAGCCCAATTATCATAAACTTCAACAACTATATTTTCTACTCCTAAAGTATCAGTGCTGAGAAACCTCAGCAGATTTGTCTCCTGTATACTTAAAACGTTTAGTGTATATTCTCATACTTATAATAGTGCGAATATCCTCTGTTATAAAAAGACTTTCTTGCATTTAGGTCCATGTACCACTGTGAGTATGAGAGAATTTAAATGACACTGAGTTTATTCAATTACCGCTCAGTATAGAAATCATTTAGATGTTTTCTTAATTAATACGCTCATGCTTCCCTCATCAATTGTTGATTTTTTACAAGTCGATTAAACTTGTGGGTGTTTTTACAACATTTATTTAATGTTGTTAGTAAGACATTACTTATATAAATGGCAAAATCTTACCGACTCCCAAACAACCAATCCATATTCACGGCCGAACTCATGGGCATGGCCTCAGCACTACACAATCAGCAATCTAAAAAACACCAAAAAATCCTCATCCTAACCGACTCCCTCAGTGGTCTACAAGCCCTCAAAAACAAAAACACTAAAAACCGCCCCAAACTAATAAATCAAATACTCAAAAGCTCAAACAACTTAACTAAGGCAGAAAAACAAATAGAGTTCATTTGGATCCCCGCCCACTAGGAATCTTTGGAAATGAAAACGCAGATAAAGCAGCAAAATTATCCCTTAAACTCCCAGAAATAAGCTTAAACTTACCCAGCTCAAAATCAGATATTAAAAGTGTCACTAAACAAAAAAACGCAAAATATATACCAAAACTCAAATAGCCAAATCAGGAAAGTACTAAAAAAACAAACTAACTAAACCAAAAATACTACACCCATCCAAAAAAAATCGACAGAATAATTACTAAACTACAAACAGGCCACAACAAACTAAATAATCACCGTAAAATAGCTAATCTACACACAACAGGAACTGCCCACATTGCAAACAACAAGAAACACCAAAACACGTACTCATTCACTGCACACACTACCAAACTCACCGAACAACACTACAGACCACCCTAAATCTTAAAACCGCACTTACCTACACTAGTATCAATCCTAAATCCACAAAATAAATTAGAAAAAATCAAACCTTAGGCATATACCCAATGAAAACAGGACTAATTAGTCGCATTTAAACCCCAAATAAAATATTAAAAACAAAACTATCTAATCAAACAACCACCCAACACACACAGCTCCCTTAGTTCGTCCTCCACCCACTCTTGGCATTCATTCCAAATCTCAAAATTTCAAAATTACTATACAAGCAACCCCTAAAGCCCCCTTCCTGGGTTGCACAAACTCCCTTTTCCCCTTTTCGGAAACACATTAAATGGCCCGGCCGGGCCCGTGTGCGACAAACGCTTGCAGTCGGAAAGCGCACGTTAAATCTCCAATATTAGTAAGTAAGTAAAGCTGATAGCTCATCAAATAAGGTACATGTATTTTGTCGTAAGGGGATTATGTCCATGAGGGTTTTTGTCGTAAGGGGATTATGTCCATGAGGGCTTTTGTCGTAAGGGGATTATGTCCATGAGGGTTTTTGTCGTAAGGGGATTATGTCCATGAGGGCTTTTGTCGTAAGGGGATTATGTCCATGAGGGTTTTTGTCGTAAGGGGATGATGTCCATGAGGGTTTTTGTCGTAAGGGGATTATGTCCATGAGGGCTTTTGTCGTAAGGGGATTATGTCCATGAGGGTTTTTGTCGTAAGGGGATGATGTCCATGAGGGTTTTTGTCGTAAGGGGATGATGTCCATGAGGGTTTTTGTCGTAAGGGGATGATGTCCATGAGGGTTTTTGTCGTAAGGGGATGATGTCCATGAGGGCTTTTGTCGTAAGGGGATGATGTCCATGAGGGTTTTTGTCGTAAGGGGATTATGTCCATGAGGGTTTTTGTCGTAAGGGGATTATGTCCATGAGGGTTTTTGTCGTAAGGGGATTATGTCCATGAGGGTTTTTGTCGTAAGGGGATTATGTCCATGAGAGTTTTTGTCCTAAGGGGATTATGTCCATGAGGGTTTTTGTCCTAAGGGGATTATGTCCATGAGGGTTTTTGTCGTAAGGGGATTATGTCCATGAGGGTTTTTGTCGTAAGGGGATTATGTCCATGAGGGTTTTTGTCGTAAGGGGATTATGTCCATGAGGGTTTTTGTCGTAAGGGGATGATGTCCATGAGGGTTTTTGTCGTAAGGGGATTATGTCCATGAGGGTTTTTGTCGTAAGGGGATGATGTCCATGAGGGTTTTTGTCGTAAGGGGATTATGTCCATGAGGGTTTTTGTCGTAAGGGGATTATGTCCATGAGGGTTTTTGTCGTAAGGGGATTATGTCCATGAGGGTTTTTGTCCTAAGGGGATTATGTCCATGAGGGTTTTTGTCGTAAGGGGATTATGTCCATGAGGGTTTTTGTCGTAAGGGGATTATTTCCATGAGGGTTTTTGTCGTAAGGGGATTATGTCCATGAGGGTTTTTGTCGTAAGGGGATTATGTCCATGAGGGCTTTTGTCGTAAGGGGATTATGTCCATGAGGGTTTTTGTCGTACACACTGTGGAACAGTCCGGGGTGCACATCATAATAAGTTACAGAATGAAACCAAATTTAAATCACTGTCTGAGTAAAGAAAGAGTTTGAAATTAACAACGTTTTATAATATTATGCATAACTTGACACCAAATTACTCAAGAAACGGTTTCAAAAGCATCTTCCTATAATCTAAGAATTCAGATAACTTGCAATTTGTCATCTGCAAGACGACATTTTATTCGGAGACTTTTCTCCCTGAAACTTTAAGACTACCGAACTTATTACCGGATGAAACTAGAAATTGCTCAACGCTTTCAGCCTTATAGAAACTAGGGGTATTGACACAGCTTTAATTGTGATGTAAATTATGGAACACTTTTCGTCAAGTCATACATATTCACCTCAGGCTTGGGTGCAGCGATTTAAATTGGAACACGTTCACTCAACATCTATTGCCTCACTCTAACTGTCTCTGTGGCCATCAGTGTGAAGATTCTGTCCACTACCTTTTGTTTGTCCGTTATATGACAATATCAGACAGAACATGTATTATTATCTGACTGGATATGATCTTAACTCGGTTTTGTATGGCAACCCCCATAAATCTCAAGAAAGTAACACGATAATCTTCAATCTATGCATGATTTTATCTTGTTTTCAGACGGATTTAAACTACCCTGATTTGATCTGTTACTATTTCTTTCCAGCACACACCCGACTATAAATCATTGTGTTCCTTGAATTTATGGCATGTAGCAAGCTAACCATGTTATCCGGAGAGGGATTCAAATAAGCCCACAAAAATTGTTTGCCGATCCGGCCATGTATATTTTAATGGAATAAATACGTTTAAACCATATATCTTGAATTATTGCTGGGTGCCAACAACAACTTATTGATAACACAAAATTGCGCTAAATTAAATTTAAAAATCGTATTTGTGGTTTTAGTAATAAAATTGGTAATAAATGGTGAAACAACGTCTCATGTTTGCTATGTCAGCGTCGCGACATCTCTTATTCAAAAGCCTGGATACGCCTCGGATATATATATTTTGAAAATTCTCAGCATGAAAATGATTCATATCCTATTAATAACAGTAGATGGGAATTCCCAAGTAGATAATCGATAAGTATTCGTGAGAGTAAATGACCCGACACGTTGTCTATAAAGTATGTATGGTCAAATGAATAATATGTCTTAGAATTTGGATATCGTACTAATGAATCGTATCTTTTTTTTCTGAAAATGAACGGATTAACAAAAGTGTGAAATATTATGGATGAACATGTCTTGCTATCTATTAAAGGGAGATAACCTCACACTTCCTGGTGTTGTGACACCAAAGCGGCCAAAGTACGAGAATCCAGGAGGAAGCTTCAAGGATTATTTGCAACAGGTATTGAGAGTTGATATAAGGTTCAGATTGAATCCTAAGTATTGGAATGAGTAGTGAACATTGACAGGAATGTGTGGACGGGACATGGACTGAAAATTCTCGGGATTGTGTGCCACGGATTAATATCAGTATAGATCACATATACAATATGTCTTGAATACAGCTTACATCGTATATTTGCGTTATGTACTATTCCGAGAATTCTAATAAACTATTCGTGGGTTTTTTTAAACACAAAAGCTTCTTTAAGTTGACTCATGGACATGTAAGTCAACACGGACATGAGCCAAAACGGTCCTACGCCACAACGGCCCATTTCTCTGTTCAAAACGGACAAATATATTGGTCATGGACCTGGGATAGTGTAAAGTATGTCATAGACCTGGGGTAGTGTAAAGTAGGTCATTGGCCTGAGTGTAAAGCACTGCCCCCAGTCAATATGTTTCATCATAAATATGTCTTCCCATCTTTGGCTTTCTTATTTCATAAGCAACACAAAGATAATTGCTTGAAAATTTTAAAATTATAGATTTTGAGGTAATCCCCTGGCTTTGATTAAGTATTGAATATCTTTAAGAGAGGAAGCACTGTGTACTTGAATGTAAAAGGAGTACACCTGAACTGTTAAATCTGTACCTCTTGTGTCTGTGTTGGGACTATTCTTGTTTCTTGTTTACATAAATTTAAAAATATGGTAAAGGCACACAGGCCGCCCATAGGCAAGACAGAAAGCGTGGTCAAACCGCCATCTTCCTTTATTTCATACAACAACAACCCACCAAAAATCTAGGCAATTACTGTCCACTTTGACTTGTCCTCTGTTATCCAGGCGAAAACCACAAATTGGCAACTAAACTTCTTAACAGAATAAATGTCATCTTTGGTCAAAACCGATAACCAGGACAACTTATCAGTAACAGTTCCTTTCTCATTTTGAAATATGACTATTCAGTCACTGATATTCTCATGCTGACATTCAGGACATCTGATGAGTTGACACACCGGCCTGAAGATTCTCTGATCACCAACACCCACAGTGACTGAGCGAATCCTACCATCACTCCCAGGTTAAGTTTCAACTACTCTACCAACCAACCAAGAGGCTCTCACACTTTGAGGATCAAGGATAATTACAACGTCACCACAGTTTATGTCACTATGATCCTTTTGATCATGCTGCCATTACTGACGTAACTGAGGGTTAGGTAGATAGTCTTGAAGAAAATGTTTCCAGAAGTGTTCGGCAAGTATCTGACTGTGGTGCCATCTTCGAAGACTGATGATCTCATTTTCAAGCAATCTGTTCTAGTAGAAAAGAAAGGGGGTTTGAGGAATGTCACTCGTAATGGTGGCAAGTCTGCCATCTTAGGAACTGCTGGTTTGGCTCACCACTTCTGGCAGAAACCACACTTCCTTTGGTGACTGTGAACTGACTCACGTCCCCTTAGGATCCTAATAATTGCGTCTAATTTCTACAAATACATGCTCTGCACCACTGAGTAAGGTTCCTCGTCAAATATTTTCCGATTAGTAAGCGAGTAGTTGGGTGTCTGGGGTCTTTGACAATTGTATGTTTAACATCTCCTGGTGGGTACTCAGCTCTTCCCAGACATCCACCCACACGTCTCCATGGTCTTCATTGTAGATTGGGTCCAGTTATGCAAATTTAATGTTGGAAGGCAATTCCTCACCACTTTTAAGTGCTGCTATTTCACACGGGAAACTCTGCACTTGAACACTGTCACGTAACAGTTGCATTTCAGTGTCACCTGCATGGTTTTGTTGACAAGGTCATCCCAGCTGCTACATTTGGCAGGATCTACATCTCAGTTCAGCGCTATCCTCATCGACATCATGAGTCACTTTTTGAGGCCACTGATCTTGTGGCAGAGAGGAAAGGGGGACCAAGTCTTCATAGAGATTCCTCACAGAGGTCCTTCAGGGTTTTGCCTCTCGTCACATGTCGTCCCATAAGGCAGCACTCCCCACTGATAGATATCTGGGTCTCTATCCTCAACAAGGCCACGCCATAGGAATTGCAAGAGAGGCTTGTATTGTCCAACAACCTAACTTAGTAGAACATCCCTTTAATCATGTAATATCCCCAGAGAATCCCACAGGGTTTTTCCCAAATCTCAGTAATACTCAGTATACTATAAGAAAGGTCCTAGCTTGGGTCTTGGTAATATCTTTTTATGAAGATTCTGACCCCCGGATTCATATGAATAGTAAATACAAGTCTTGATTTATCATTGTGATGCACGAGTCGTCACTGTTTTCCGCCTTGTCTGTTGAGATGCCTCGTACTGAGCCTGCATCAACCATCTTGTGGTTTAGTTCGTTGTGTATCTGCCGATTCTGGATGACCCTGCAAGTGTTTCTCGGTTCGTTGAAGGTTTGGTAGTATGGAATCGAAACTGTGTGCCATCTTGCACAGGTGTAGCATGCCGCATCACCCCTTGGACATTGATCTCTCAGTTTCAGATTAAAGGACCGTAACAGCCTGCTGATCTTGTTTTGACCGGTTTACGTCCTTTGTGCTGTAAGGTAGGACATCCATCTGCCATAGTCTCTTCACATGCATGTGAAGGTCAGTGACTTGTTGTTCATGTGCAGTAAAAAAACAATGATGTTCTGTTGGGAGGGGCATGAGTGATGGTCCATCCTAGTCTAGTATGAACAGCCACTGGTGTTTTGCTGGAGGTCCAAACTGGATAGGCTGATCTGGTACAATTAGCTCAGATGTGTATACTCAGAAAGGGCAAGTTTACCAGAGGTCAAAGCTCTTATCACAGAGAATCGTAACTTTGGATTCTCTCTTGATGAAATGTATAAGTCAACTGATTGACCTTCACACATGTATGGCTCTCATCGAATTATGGTCAGAAGTATCTTGTCTGGTGTTGAAGAAAACCCAAGTTGCTCTACAACTGGTGACATGAGCATCAATCTCTGGGATCCATCATCCAGTATGGCGTGAGCTTCTTTGCTTCAGGCTGGTCCATGAAGTATTACTTCAACCACCTTCAGCATTGTGGAATATGGCCTTGAGGGGTGATCAATATCTTTTGCTCTTGGTGGTGGTTGGCATTGTGTAGAATCATAAGATGGAGTTCATTGTTTCTTTAAATTACAATCTTCCACCTTATGGTTACGTCATCATTTTTTACAGTGTCCTTTCAGCGATTCCATCATATCATCAAAAGTCATATTCTTGATTTCAAAACAAGCATTTAAGAAATGGTTTTCACTTCCACATTTCGGACAATATCCCTTGGGCTTCGCCTTTGGGTTGTCAGGTACAGCCCTGTATTTGGCATAGAAGGTAGCAGTGGCAACATTTCTTGTCCAGGTTGGAAAGTCAACTTTTGTCAGCTCTCTCGAACCAAAGTGAATAAGTTTTATGGGAACTGATTGCATGACTAGCTATTTGCTTTGCCTGTGACCTGACCTTCAGCCAGTCACTGAAATGTTTCAAGTTAGACTGGTATCAGAATCAAAGATTCCACACTTAATACAATGTTCAATGAAACTGTCCCTAAGACCTCTAAAACCATCTTTACTTCCTTCTCCCATTCATTTCTAAACATTGGCAGTGTTGGCCTGTAGTCCCCCACCAAACCTCCTCATTAACTTTTACCATAAACAAACAAAAAGTGGGGTGTGGGGAAATGTCCAGTATAAATATCAAGAGAACTATTTTTTCATAACGAAATACTAAATACCCTTATGGACCTTCTATTATAAGAAATACATATTCTTGTAGACCTTTTAATTTCAACAGTTATATGCTACTTACGTTTCAATGTATCTAATTTTACAGTTAAAAAAGGTGTTGAAATATGTTAATGTGTCAAATGTATTCAATATATCTTCACAAGCAACGCTTGTTGCATTAACATTCATTTATTATCATCATCAAGTTTTAGGTTTTACGTCAACTTCACAGTCCTGTATTTCGTCGACGGGGTAGGTGGGGTTGAATAAAAAATAATATGCTTATTTAATAGATATAAACCACCATACTTAATTGGGGGGGGGGGGGGGGAGTTCAATGTATTACATTACATTACATTACATTACATTACATTACATTATTGAGTATAGCAAAGATTTATAGGTATATATGTTGACTATAAATTATAAATGATGTATATATGTAAATACGGATATATCAAATATAATACTAGAACATATTAACAAAATTAAGCCCTAATATATAAGTAATGTATAGCTTTGTTAGATGTAAAGCATAGCAGGATATAGTAACAGTTAGGCTGTTTTTCAGTATGAGGGGCTTGCTAAATAAAGGAAAATTGAAGTGAAGCCCAGCCTCAACATTCATATATTTTTATGTTAACATGTTTTATAGCGCTTGTACAAGAAACATATTCTCCAGCAAAAGTAATTGAGCATTAAGAAATCTGACAGACACTTTTGACGTTCAATCCATAATCTGTAGGTTTGTTCATAGGGACAGGACGTCGATCTTTGTGAAACATTGTTTTCACACAACAGGCGATAATCCCTAAGCTTACTCTGCTCCATTCGGCTTATTCAAAAACAAATCCGCGAGTAGTTTCAGCTCTAGTGACCAACTGCGAGAGTAGGCTTCTTTCCCGGGAATACCTCTGCCCTCTGGCTTCAAACGACCGAAGCATTTATTTTGTAATCTAGGCTTACATACATTTACACACATGCACGCACACACGCACATAAATACACATACATAATTTACATACATTTAATCATACATACAGCCATACATACCATGTAACACACAGCCATATGTACATACTGAATAGGAAGCGTGTGTATTGATCTGTTGTCTTAATCACTGACCCATCAAGAGTGTCAGTCGGCATGTATCAAATCTTTATAACCGGTGAGATTTTGATATCTGTCACACCTGACTTATTTGTCTGAATGACACGTCTGAAAACAAGGGGTGAACCGTTACACAGTAACTCGGGGTAACGCTTTTCTGTGCTATAGAATCAAAGTACCGTGTGATGCATGTGTATGGAGTACATATATCTCACGATGATGTGTCATTCCTGAATAAGTACGATGTATGGCATTCCATCCGTCCTTCTGTCTGAGCTTTTGTACGGCCCATAACTTTTTAACCATGCACCCTAGCTTCACCAAACTTCCTACACCCATTTACCACAATGAGTACTTCTGCCTTTTTGCTAGTTTGAAGATTGTGAATTTTTTTAGTTTTGCCGTTTCCATGGACACATTAAGAAACTTAAACTTTTAGGGTGGGTGTTTTGTACGGCCTATATCTTTTTAACTATGCACCCTAGCTTCACCAAACTTTCTACACACATTAACCACAATGAGTACTTGTGCCTTTTGCTAGTTTGAAGATTGTGAATTTTTAAATTTTTGCCGTTTCCATGGAAACATTAGAAACTTAAACTTTTAGGGTGGGTGTTTTGTACGGCCTGTATCTTTTTAACCATGCACCCTTGCTTCACCAAACGTGCTAAACCCATTTACCACAATGAGTACTTGTGCCTTTTGTTAGTTTGAAGATTCTGAATTTTTTTATTTATGCCGTTTCCATGGAATCATGGTGAAACATAAATTTTGGGTAGAGTTTTTGTAAGATCCATGTTTACAATATTATGTATCCTCGCTTCAGCAAACTTGCTACACTATGATTGTTTTTTATCTTTTATAAGATTCTGAAAGTTTTCTCTTTTGCTGTTTTCATGGAAACATGATGGAATTTAGAAATTTTGATGACTGGTTTTGTATAGCTCATGGGGTTACAAAGGAAAGGGCAGTTCCTCTGACTTAGAGCAACAGGTATATTTAATTAATTAACAAACTATTTACTATGTGTTGTTGACCAGCGGGGATAACGGGGGTATGTGAGCTTTGCTCACTTCTTTCTTGTTTACTATTTATTCGTTATATGATATCAATAATTCATTTATGGGTACTAAAGAATGAATTTATATCACACATATGATTTTGTTTTATCATGAAATGTTTATTGATATGGCAAATCGGTTTTTAGATATCAATAACTGAATTTATTATCAAATGATGTACTTTATCATCTAAAAAATCAAATATAGTATTTTATCTATAGCCTTCGTCTCCATGAACTTTATACCCATTTTTTAATAATTCGTAAAGATAGGTACAGTATCATAACATTTGCATATATAGTCATTTTCAGATGATGTCTACATATATGTAAGGGCAAGCTTCTTCCTTTTGTTTAGTCAGCAGCTTTCCTTCTGGCTATGGATGTGGAATACAGGCTTTAGGGTTACATATGAATCTTGTTATCATTGTATTTTAATGCTATTTGAATGTTATTATTTACTATCGTGCTTACTTCATGTTTTAAATGAGACGTTTTATATTGATATGTCACCACAAATTACAATTATTGCTTGTAAGCTCAACACAATTGACAATTACTCTAAAAGATATGACTAGTAAATCATTAATGTACATTGAAAAATATATATTGTAAATGCCAGAATGATGTATCTAGGATCAAGTATAAGATATATGGACAGCAGCACTGGGAATTTATTCAACAAACCCGTGAAACAACACTGCTTTAGCTCAATGTTTACAACTCCTGGCGGCCATGCATTATGCAATGGCCATCTTACACACAACCCCGCGCTCACGTCTACGGGTCTTTTCCTGTAATTAGTAGAACCCTCTCCATCAAGTGTATCCTCCATGGTATAACCTACTCTCATTAATTAAATGCTGCCCTTTCCCAGCATCATGGCTATGGAGCTGAGACAAAGAGACCCAACCATCATAAAGTAATTAGGGTCCAATAAAAACAATGCTCCACCAAACCTCATAAACATGATCACTGAAAGTCGTACTACAGACATTTAATGTCAAATCACAAAAAAGCATTTGAATAGCAATAAAATTTAACAGGATCATATATTCTCTTAACACCATCGCAAAACATCATGTAGAAGCCACAACAGTACTCATATTTTCCAACAAAATCACATCTAAAAATGAGACATCAGCAAATACATATAATAAAATGTGTATTAACATTTTTCGTCAGGAAATCAAAAGGTTATCTCCTTGTTACCACCTCCAGGTTCAGCCAAACATGGGTCCACCTTTGGTAAAAAGTTTGTTCCCCCTCCAATGAGTGTGACACGCGTTGCACACGAGTGACGAACGGGGTGCACACCCGTGTTCAACGCTTTTCACACGGGTATCACACACAAGGCGGACGGGTTCCACACGAGTGACCAATGGGTTGCACACGGGTTGCGTAATGCGTTGCCCATGCGTGTAAGGCGAATGAACTTCTGGGCAGTAGTGTAGCTAAGGCATTTTACAAGTTTGGGAAACATTGGAGACATAAATTGCAAAACAATTTTGCGAGGGCACTAGTCCTAGCCAAGTGGGATCACTTTCCATATCTGTGCTTGTAGACCTCTTTTAAAAAAGTTAGTTTGAATTGTTACCTTGTTTCGTTTTGTCACTGTGTGTACATCTGACTGCACCTTGTAACGTTATGACCAATCTCATTAGTTCTTGCTACTGCTAAACAAAGATCTGAGGACATCCCATTACGGGTCACGTCAGACCGACCTTGCACAAACTTTGACCGACCAATGGAATGACCAATCAGAAGGCAGCTTTCTCTTGCTTTACGGTACTAATTTCAAATTGGCGACTACGCTTCGAAACATATTTAGACAAGTTCTCGATTAGAAATTTGAAACCTGAACAAAAGAACATTCTGGAATGGCTAATAGATGGGCTAGATTGTATGGATTCAGTCGTTAAACCCGTAACTATTGTTCGGAATAAAGTTTTCGAGGTTGCATGATTAGAAATAACATTCAGACTGTCACTTTCATAATCTGGTAAGCAACGCTCTGATTGGTCGGATGAAAGGTCATTCTGACGTGACCCCTAACTGGATGTCTTCAGATCTTTGTTTAGCGGTAGCGAGAACTAAAGTCTGATTTTAATGAGATTGCGTTATGACAGGACAGACTGTCAACAACGTCCGACAGTCTCAGAGACTAGGGTTAGAGTAGCTTCCCTTTGACAAAGGGCAGTTACTCTAGCCGACAGACCGATGGATTGCCACGAAAGGCAAGTAAAAACAATTGTGTAGGCAATTGTTGTTTTGTGTATATGTTGTATAAGTATCCTGTATTAATAATAAACAATATGCATTTAGCTCGCCAAGGCTCGCTAAATACAACGTTTATTCCTAATACAGGATATTTACCATCCCCAAACACACTCGCGTGATAACCTCTATTTATACACAATTTACAGAACTTACAAATCAGTAACACATATATTAAATGTCTCTTATCATAACTGAATATATCAGTTACACACTATATATAGTTAGAAGAATACTAGTAGCTGTATGGCATGATAAATTTATACTTATTATCTCTAAGAGTAGGAATATATATAAAATGCTATCACGTTGTGTTAAATTATAATACATAGGTAAATCATATAAATTCATTCTTAAGTGAGTGATAAAATAAAGGATTTATGCATATCCTGTGGGTGACACTGGGGTGTGTCTGTATACCCACATCATTGGCATTGGATTATGACATTCCTATAAAAAGTAAATATAACATAACTATCATCCCTGAATACATACATACATACATACGTCCATCCATCCATCCATCCATCCATCATGACCATGACCATGACCATTACCTTAAATTCTAGAAAACCAACTCCTAATTCAATCCTTACATTCAAAACTACCAATCAAATCATGCTCTCACACATACATACATGTTAAACACTTTATACTGATGAAATAGAAGATATCTTGGTTATTTGATATAATAGGTAAAAAGTTACAATACTTTACATTATTGATAACATATTTAATAGATACGTAAGAATTCTATTTAGGAAAAGATAATGTAAATAAGTAACCTGAGCTACATGTAGTCCATGTCTTGCCTGTGCATAGATATAATCAGAGTGAATAAAAAGTGTGCAAATGTTAGGGAAGAAAGCTGTAGTTAGATAATGTTAAAGCTATTGTATTGACAAGCTAGAGAGTTTGTGACAAAGGGACAAGAATAGACTAACCTGTCCGCCCTTTAATAAATGGACCATCCGCTTGGACTCTTAACCCAAGCATATACATTTTGTACTACAACTAATGAAGATATATACAACTTTTTGAAATTATTGAAACACTTATATTTTTTCTTTTAAATTCAACTATTAAAACCACTTGTCGTCCCACTCAATTTTTTTTATGTATACATGTATGATTTTGCACTTCAATTTTATTTGTAGATTAATTTAATGATAAACTAAAGACAAAAGAACTGACATGAATGTGACCCAAAAGAAATATAGGGGGAGCTCAGCGATTCTACAACATTAATGGGAATAGTACTTTTAGCTTTCGACTCGATAGTTATGTGGTTCACTATCATAATTAACAATATTTCTGACGTTAAATCTGTGGTGCGTTCTTCATGTTGTGAAGTGTTGATTCGAATAATAAAGTTTAACATAATAAAGTGGCAATTTTTGAACGTAAAGCAGATTATTTATGTGAAACAGATCCTGTCTTGCATGCCATCTTGTCAAATTTTTTCAGGGACGACAACAATCTTAGCTACTTAAGATTGGTCTGGACCAATTGTAAGTTTCAACTTGCTTACAATGATCTTAGCCTACAATCACTTTGTGCAAGTGGATGCCGACTGTAGCTGAAGCCTAAGATCGTGACCGTAAGGATTTTCAATAAGTAAATGTAGTGCTTAGATCGTACTGTGCTAGTGGACCCATATCTGTATGAACCTTGTCTTTTAGACACTGGTACTCCAATAAACACCGGGCCTCCGATCATATGACCTGTCTCAAAGTAGATGCCAGGGGATAACCGTTTTCTGCAAATATGTTTTGGTAATAACCAAAGTAAAGTTTCATTTATGAAAAGCTTGACTAGGTAGATTTGGTTTATTTTGAAATTGCTGCAGTGTAAGAGGAGATAATTATTATTTCTTTTTTATCTGTGCAATCAGGTGAAGCAGATGAGGTGAATGGGTCCAACAAATAGCTCCTTGTGCAGCAGCTCCATGGATCCAGCCGACACTGATACAGGCCCAGCAGAGCTGGATGCGCAGCTCCTTCACCGCAGACAATGCCTTGTGTCTGCCATCAAACATGCATCTGATTGCAGCAACCCTCTTATGGACCTTGTGTATTTGAAGTGCCCAGTAGCTATGAAGTATGCTGTCCTAAATGTTACAAAGATTTTGCAGGAAAACAATCAGGTTGGTGTTTGAATGTGTTTTTGAATTCTACCGTTCACTGACTTTTCAAAACATAATAGTTCCCATTTCAATTTGATCCCTAGCCGCACCCTAGAGCAAGTAAAGGGAAAAACATGATTGCAATTTATTTGCTAATGTAATTGTCCTATATATATTAAGTCAATTGGATTGTGGATTGTGATTGCAGTATCATCCTGCACAACCTGCAATATGTCACTGAATATTTGTTCAGATTTGCATGCCAGCCTGTGCATGATTTGTTGGCATCGACCCACTGCTCAGTGAGATATTTTGTGCTTCATGACAAAGTCTTTGGTGTTAATGGTGGTTGGGTATCGTCTTTGGAAACCAATGAACGGAAGTTTGACCTCCTTTCTTAATCATGAACTTGTATTCGGAAAAAAACAAGTGCCACCCCCTCTTAAAATTGGGAATTAACTGTAAATCAACCTGCACATTTGCCACAGTAGAATACTGTTTCTTGTCTGTAATTATAGCCCCAATCATATACTAAATGTATATTAATATAGTTCACCAATTAGTTGTGTCATTATGTTTTCTGAGATATTCACTGATTCGTTGTGTCATATGTCATCACCATGGGCGGGTGAATTTTTCCCTATAACAATAGGAAGCCCCCAATAAACTATGCAGACAGGGCACCAGCTCAATCATTGAAACTGCTGCGTGTCCAACACTGGGAACCCATTTTAACCCCATTAAGGGGAATCTCGGCAGAATTTTTCATTTGGGGGATGATTTAGCCTGTTGTTTTTTATCGTCTGTTTTACACTATTTTTTTTTTCAAATTTAATTTGGTAAAGCATTTGTGATTAAGTATGTCCTAAAGTATTAAAATCTGCAAAGTTGCTGTGTTGTCTTACTTTTCCTTTAACAGATGGTACTTGTTGTTACCCTGCCTGGTGCTGGGGATTAAGAGGAAACAAAGACTGATCAGCTTGGAGTCAGTATACTGGGTCTGAGTGGGCTAGCAGTATAAAGCTGGCAATAGTCGAGACTAGTACAGGCACACGTGCAAGAATGTTGTTATGTCAGTGCAATAATCTTGAATGCGATGTTATACCCACTTTCACCTCACCATAAAGACACAGCTGCTCATATTCATACAAGGCATTAAATAAGCAGATGTACATATTGTGGCAACTGGTTTGACTGCCAACACGTTTGTTACATTTTATGCATACCATATATATATATACATTTCAGACAATACAAAATCTAAAGAACATCCCAGTGGCACTTAACATTTTGGAGAAGTATGGCCGCCATCTCCTTAAACCGAAGTCCCTTAGGAACGAACTGTGGAGATATGTCAAATTCTCTAACCCCATATTCAAAGACCGTGTTGACGCTCTCAGGGTGAGTATTTAAAAATATCTGCTGGTAGGAGTTTGTGTTCAGTCAGTCTGCAGCCAAGAATCATAGACTCAAAGTCAAATTGTCCAAGATTTGAAGTAATATATCAAACCAAAACTGAATTATTAGCTCACCGGGTCCGAAGGTCCAAAGTGAGCTTATGCCATACCGTGGCATCCGTTGTCAGTACCTCGTTCGTACGTCAACAATTTTTTCAAACAACTTCTTTTTCTGAACCACTAATTGGAAATTGATGAAATTTGACTGGAAGCATCCCTAGGTGGTGGGGATTCAAAATTGTACAAATGGTGGGGCTGACCCCCTAGGACCTAAGGGGGGCCAAATGGGGGGAATTTGGCTATATATAGAATACTAAACGAGCTCCTGTGTAATACCAATTTTATGAAACGAGTGAATAGTTCTGGTATCTGATGAGCGAAAGTGTGTCAGATACCACAACTATTAACTAGTTTCATAGTTTCATGGTTTTACATGGGAGCGAGTTTAATATTTTATTTATTACTTGCCATTTATAACGTTTTTACAATTATACTGTTGAGTGTGAATAGGCTGACACCTACACGATCCACGGCATAATCTAATTGAGTTTTAACAGAATAATACTTCAAACACGTCAAAAGTTGAAATGTATGAATTTAATACCATACAACAGTCCACCTTTAGAATTCAGGTGTCCATTCAACAAAATTATCGTAGCGCTAAGGTTATCGCAACTCACATACTTTAACTTGACTAACGACTGTTGTTGCGCAACAATATGGACACCTTGTGGAATGGGCCTTGCACCTCAAAGTTTACAATCACATCACAATACCCCATGACGTAATTTGTTGAATTTTGTTGCACGATCCATCGGCGAAACAATGCCATGTGACGTCAGAAAAGCAACAAGGTTGCTTGGGTCATCGAGCATGCATAAGCTCCTTTCAGTGATCTATCATCTCCACATGCAATGTCGTTGAATAAGCCAAGGGATGTTGAGAGCTTTCAATATTTGTTCGTGAAACGTGTTCCGAGACTTACATAAGGATGTGTTTTGGTAAAACACAATGTGTAATACAGCTGCATGTTTATTAAACGGGTGATCTCTTTACGGGCAAGTAATAAATTGCTTTAAGCGACTTCCTCTCTGGAATTAAGAGATAGATATCAACCATATTAGGTTGGAAGCATTCTCCGGTGGTGAGGATTCAAAATTGTACAAATGGAGGGGCTGACCCCTAGGGGTAATTAGGCTATATTGCTTTAAGCGACCTCTTCTCCGGATCTAAGAAATAGATATCAACCATATTTGTTTGGAAGCATTCTCCAATGGTGGGGATTCAAATTGGAGAAATGGAGGGGCTGAACCTGGAGTCCAGGCTTGCCCCTGGAAATTTAGATCCTGGATCATAACATGGAAACGGTTCAGATCTTTACGTTACATTTGTATCTAGAGAAGTACACATTCATGCTGTCAGATTTGCCATCCACCTTTTTTAAATGCTGAGAGTCAAAATTACAAAATATTAGCAGTATTATATACATGTACAATGCAAATGTATATTTTGTCATGATTGCGTAAATATCCAGGTGAGCGATGCAGACCTATGGGCCTCTAATTCCCTTTTTGCCGTAGGAAGTGCAATACTTAGGTCCGAAGTGAATGAGAGTAGTTCTGGATCATTCTATAAGCCATGATGTCACTGCTTTGTAACAGTGAATGAAGCTCCCCAACTAACCCAACCAGACCCTACCAGACCACTGTAAAAAATTAACCATCCCTGACTTAGCTGGTTACAAATACCTATAATATGTTCCTTTCCTAATGGCTACCATGACGTCACAATCAAATGGCATCACTAATGGCTCTGCTACTGAAGCTGTTAGCAGTACTTTATACACTTAAGACACGGCTTATTACTGTCTACAAACTGAAAGAGTTGGAAGAATGAGGTTGGATGATAAATAAAATCTCACCCAAGTGTCTTTTGATATCAAATATATCAACACTTAATATCAAACGACACTGGGGTGAGTTTCTCTATATAATTCCTGCGAATACAAAATTTCCATTACATCATTGCCACAAATCCTGTATTTTGGCAGTCATCAAACTATAAACATCTTGTGCAAGTAATAGTCTCTTTCTGCCCACGCCTCTTGTACATGCCCAAGGCAGGGAACCTCACTTCTTTCCTGTGCTTACCCCCCATGTGATATTGCTGGAATATTGCTAAAAGCGGCATAAACCATACTCGTGTAGCGGCCATAAAATTTCCAAGTCCCATGATGGGATTTGAACCTAGAATCTTCTTATCCGAGGTCGGACGCCTTGTCCACATGACCAAAGAAGTTAACCCCCTCTGGAAGCATCAAGAATTGGAGAAATGACAGGAAGGTACCACTTCCAAAAATGAAATGACAAACATACCAAAATTACAATGGCCATTTCCTGAACCCTCCGAGTGTGTATGAAGATTTCCATGACCAGTCAAAAACTTCTAATAGGAGATTGTTGATGCAGATGTTATAAAGTATGGGAGAATGTTAAGTCATTCTGCTTCAAGAGGAATATTCCTGGAGAGACACCAGTTACCATCCGTATGGATGGGGTTGGTCTTCCAGATAGCATTGTTAAATGCACGGATGAGAAACTCACCATGTGGATGTCCAGCTAATTCACTTGGATTGATACAGAGACAATATTTCCCACCCAAGTTTGGACTAAGGCAGTGTCGGAACTTAGCAGGAGGGTTTATAGCACAACAGGTCACAACTTGTCCTTTATTTGAGGGCTAACTCAACATTGCATATCCATTTCCAAGCAACGTAAAGGAGGCTACAGAGGAGATAGTCGATATTGACTCTCTAGGAAACCAATCAACATGGCTATGTCTATTGACTTCAATGTTTGCTTACTGAAGACTTATCTAATGCCTACACAAGGACCGATGGGAGGGGACAATGAGCAACATTCGTCAGAAATCGAAAATATTTCACGTCTGCCCATTGTATATTTGTGGCCGTTCTGAAAGATAGAGGTCAAGAGATCATGATGAAATTGAAATGATGAAAGTATTTATGGGCATAACATTTCACAGAGAGCAAAGTGTTTATGCACTGGTGAAGTGAAGCATTCACCAGCGAAACTATACTGACCAATGAGAAACATGCTTCCAAGTCTCATGTGCTATATCATCTATTCTTGAGACAGTAATATGTGATAGCTGATTGGTTGTTATGCCTGAACAAGATATGCACTTGTTGATAGAGCTGAACGTTTCTCAACAAGAAATACTGGTTATGTCCACTGAATTTCCAGAGGGAATCAGTAGGGAAACTTCACACTTCCAGTTTCTTGTGACTGGTCACTTGAATTCATCAAATTTGATCACATCAAACTAGTTTGTCTCTATGGATACACTGACTTTTCTGTCAGACTGATCAGTACAAGAATCAGCTTATCCAAAACACGACTTATTCAACTACTATTGCATGTTGTTTCCTCGATCATCCGACCAAATCAGAAATCAAGCCAGCAAAAGATATTCTCGGTGCTTGATTCAAGTTTCAGGGGGATCCTGAAAACTGGAAGATCATTTTGTCAATACACAATGGATGGTTACCAATGTGGCAGATAGGCTTAACCACAATCTACAATGGTGAGTATTTTTGCTAGGGAGTCTGACGAGTCAAGACATGATTTACAAGAGAAGATTTTAGCTTTGCCACATATGAGGGCTGGTAACAAAATTCTAAGCCTGACTAACTTTTATCTATGGGCCATAAAAAAGTGACCTAGTCTGACAGGCTCATGGCGACAGGTCGCACATAATAATCTCCTGAGCAAAGTCCATCCAAACCATAACTAAAATGGCCATTCTAAGAAAAAGCCAAAGAGGTAAAGGTGAGACTGAATCTCAGCAAGCTGCTCAGCAAGTTAATTCAGTGGATCAAACACCAACTAAGTCAAAATCGTCGACTGATAGCGACACTACCCTGACACTGGAGAATCCAGCGACAGCCATGTTGGTGAGCATGTTCGATGACATGAAAACTTTGATTAAAGATTCTCTCAAAAAGCAAACAGATGAAATGACGTACAAAATTGATAAAGTAAACAATGAAGTTACCAAATTACAGTCTAAAACAGAAGATATTCTGCGGTCAGTCGAGTTCAACTCCGAACAGATAAACGTAAACAAGTCTGAGATTCAAATGTTGAGGGACGAAATGGCTGAACTATGTAAAGACACAGAAGCGAAATTATTGACACAAGCACTTTATTTTTGAAAGAGCAATTTACTGATCTATGGCATACAAGATGAATTAGACCCAGAAACATAGTGCAGAAAACTTTTCACTGACCTGGGCTTGCAACGCGCTGACGAAATTAACTTTGTCAACATCCATAGACTACCGTGCCAGAGTACAAATCCCTTTACAGCTCTTTCATCAAAACCCATCAGGATAAAATTTGTCAATATGAAGGACAGGCAACTAATCTTGGATGCAAGTTTCCGAAAAAACGCTGTCCTGCGTGAGAGACATGTCTCAATCCGCACGGACCTTCCTGTACCATTGAAAAAACTCTGTGGTAAACTAGCGAGTAAGGCCTGCGAGCTTCGCAAAAAACACCAAGCCCAGACATGGATTCAGGAAAAAGGGCTAGATATCACCCTCCAGTACAGGAAGAATGCAGACCGACCGTGGCTACATATCAGTCTCGACGAGGATATTAACAACTCTAGGCTGTAGTAAACAACGATGGCTTCACCAATGCTGAGTGCTTGGCTTTGTGATAGTATGCATTAATGCAAAGTACGATGCAATTATGTCTTAAATGTATCCATACAGTGCAACATGGATGATGTGCGGTGAAGTCTTCATCTATTGTGACTTTGAGCAGTTTATGATAGAATGGCGTTCAGTGACACTCGTATTACCACTTTGATTTGAAGTTTGTTTTCGTTGCTATTTATAGAATCATGTGAATGTCA